AACTAACTATTTTTTAATGTATGTACTTCAGGTTCTTTAACTACTTGTAATGNATTATTTAATCTAATAAAATATTCTTGACCCTCCCGTAGACCTCTCATTGATACTTGATCGTGAGCGATGGAAATGAAAGAAAATCAACACGAAGCCAATAGATTTAGGTTATTTAAATCGCATTTCCATCCAGTGTCCCGGAAATGTCATCCTTTTAAAGTATGGCATTGAATAAGTGAAACGAAATAAGGACACTTAGATAATGTACTCAAAGGACTTTAAATGATATCATCAGTAACCTCATGTTATAGGGAAAAATCAGAAAAAACTTCATTTCTTATGAATAGTTTCAAGTTTATTAACCCTGCTCAAAAGGTGTCTCTGGTTAGAAAAAATTTATTTACATATCGATGTTATTATCTGAAAATAAAAATGTCATCTCAATGAGTCTTACGCAGTAAAAAGTAAGAAATCCATGATGGAGGTATTTTCAGTTAATTGCTAATAACCAGAAAAAAGTTGAGAGGCCCGATAAATCCTTTCAATGATATTCATGATTCATGACATGTCCCGGAATTTCGATTTTCATAAGTCATGATGATATAGCATCCGAATAATTAAAAAATTATTTTATGAGATTATTTCATCTAAGAAAATATTCTTGACCCTCCCGTAGACCTCTCATTGATACTTGATCGTGAGCGATGGAAATGAAAGAAAATGAACACGAAGCCAATAGATTTAGGTTATTTAAATCTCATTTTTATCTCGTTTCCCGGAAATGTCATCCTATTAAAGTATGGCATTGAATAAGTGAAACGAAATTAAGACATTTAGATAATGTACTGAAAGGAATTTAAATGATTTCATCAGTAACCTCATGTTGTAGGGATAAAACAGAAAAAACTCTATTTTTCGTGAAAATATTTTGAGTGTTTTAACACTGCTCAAAATGTGTCTATGGTAGTAAAGAGTTGCTTTACATATCGATGTTACTTTCTAAAAATGAAGATGTCATCTCAATGAGTCTTACGCAGTAAAAAGTAAGAAATCCATGATGGAGGTATTTTCAGTTAATTGCTAATTGTCAGACAAACATTGAGAGGCCCGATAAATCCTTTCAATGATATTCATGATTCATGACATGTCCCGGAATTTCGATTTTCATAAGTCATGATGATATAGCATCCGAATAATTAAAAAATTATTTTACGAGATTATTTCATCTAAGAAAATATTCTTGACCCTTCCGTAGACCTCCCTTTAATACTTGATCATGAACGATGGAAATGAAAGAAAATCAAAAAAAGCCAAAAGATTTAAGTTATTTCAATCGCATTTCCATCCAGTGTCCCGGAAATGTCATCCTATTAAAGTATGGCATTGAATAAGTGAAACGAAATTAAGACACTTAGATAATGTACTCAAAGGAATTCAAATGATTTCATCAGTAAACTCATGTTGTAGGGATAAAACAGAAAAAACTCTATTTTTCGTGAAAATATTTTGAGTGTTTCAACACTGCTCAAAATGTGTCTATGGTAGTAAACAGTTGCTTTACATATCGATGTTACTTTCTAAAAATGAAGATGTCATCTCAATGAGTCTTACGCAGTAAAAAGTAAGAAATCCATGATGGAGGTATTTTCAGTTAATTGCTAATTGTCAGACAAACATTAAGAGGCCCGATAAATCCTTTCAATGATATTCATGATTCATGACATGTCCCGGAATTTCGATTTTTATAAGTCATGATGATATAGCATCCAAATAATTAAAAAATTATTTCATTACATTATTTAATCTAATAAAATATTCTTGACCCTTCCGTAGACCTCCCTTTAATACTTGATCATGAACGATAGAAATGAAAGAAAATCAAAAAAAGCCAAAAGATTTAAGTTATTTCAATCGCATTTCCATCCAGTGTCCCGGAAATGTCATCCTATTAAAGTATGGCATTGAATAAGTGAAACGAAATTAAGACATTTCGATAATGTACTCAAAGGAATTCAAATGATTTCATCAGTAACCTCATGTTATAAGGAAAAATCAGAAAAAACTTCATTCCTTATCAATAGTTTCAAGTTTGTTAACCCTGTTAAAAAGGTGTCTATGGTTAGAAAAAATTTCATTACATATCGATGTTATTATCTGAAAATAAAAATGTCATCTCAATGAGTCTTACACAGTAAAAAGTAAGAAATCCATGATGGAGGTATTGTCAGTTAATTGCTAATTGTCAGACAAACATTGAGAGGCCCGATAAATTCTTTCAATAATATTCATGATTCGTGACATGTCCCGAAAAGTCGATTTTCATAAGTCATGATGATATGGCATCCGATTGATTAAAAAATTATTTCATTACATTTTTTAATCTAATAAAATATTCTTGACCCTCCCGTAGACCTCTCATTGATACTTGATCGTGAGCGATGGAAATGAAAGAAAATCAACACGAAGCCAATAGATTTAGGTTATTTAAATCGCATTTCCATCCAGTGTCCCGGAAATGTCATCCTATTAAAGTATGGCATTGAATAAGTGAAACGAAATAAGGACACTTAGATAATGTACTCAAAGGACTTTAAATGATTTCATCAGTAACCTCATGTTATAGGGAAAAATCAGAAAAAACTTCATTTCTCATGAATAGTTTTAAGTTTATTAACCCTGCTCAAAAGGTGTCTATGGTTATTAAGAGTTGCTTTTTATTTCGATTTCATTCTCTGAAACAAAATATGGTCTTTTTTAGTATCCTTACGCAGTAAAAAGTTAGAAATCCTTGATAGAGCTATTTTAATGATCATGACGATAGCTTCCGATTAATTAAAAATGATATGGTTCGATCATTGAATAATGGAAAATACTTGTCGACAGTTCCGTAGACATTTTTTTTTATATTTGAATCATAAACAATGGGAAATAGAAAGAAAATCACACTGATCAAATAGTTGAAGTTTATTTTAATCTCTTTTTAATCTTGTATTCCGAAAATGTCATATTTTTAAATTATGGTTTTAGAATAAGCAAAAGGAAATTGAGACGGTCAGAGTATATTGTTGAGGATTTTGAATCGTATTCATCTTTCGAGAATATTTTTGAAAAAAATTTTTAATATCACATTTGCAAAGAGATCATTTCATTGAAAGTTTCTTTTGTAGGGCTGCCTTTGTTTATCGTAATGCATTTCTCAAATTTATTTTATCTTTTGTGATGTTTAGGATGTTGGCTGTTATTTGCATTTCGCGTATGAAAATAAATTATTCTCGCGAAAATTATTCCATTTATGAGTTAATATGTTTATTATCATTTGATTGTCTTTGAAAATTTTAACCAACTACTGTTTACACAAGCTAGTGTGCTTCCGTTTTTAGAATAACAATTTTTTGTTGAACTTTTCATTTTTCATCAAAAAGTTTAATTTCCTGTCGTTAAGCTCTGAAATGATATTTTTCATTATTTTTATGAAATTTAAATATGAATAATAAAATTCGCACCTAGTGCACAGAGTTGGTTACCTGGGGGTACAATGTAGCTATAACATCTTGACATCTTGACAAGTGGTCTACCGGGTTATTATATAATATCCGACTAGAAGAGAAACCTCGACTTTGTGTGTATGTATGGGTCAAAAATTTATTATTATTAGCGCTTTGTCTAAGGAGCATTACGCCGCAGCTCTCTCTGTCATATTTGCCAGAGGGAGCGCAAAGCGCGCTCCTCAATTTTTTTAATATTGATAATATCGACTTTTTCGTACACCTTTTAATGGTTCTCGATCATAAGCAATGATAAAAAGATAGTAATTTTACACTACTTACAGAACATGTTTGTGATCATCTGACCTTATCGGAAAATCTTCGCCTTGTTCATCATGATTTATAATATGTCTCGGAAATTCGGCGTTCTTGACTGAATGATGATTAAGCGTACTTGATACCGTTTTATTCATTCTTTTAAAATACCCTTATATTTTAATTACTCATTAAATTTAGATTCTATCACGAAGGATGGAAAATCGACAGCGAATCAATACGTAGCTAAAAGATTTTAGCTTTTTTTTTATTACATTTTTGTGTCCCGGAAATATTTTTTAATTTTAGCGCCCGAATGCGGAAAAAGGCATTAATACACACAGATTCAGTAGTATTTAGAGAATTTTAAAAGGAAAGGTATTACTTAAAGAACGTTTTAGAAAATCAAAATAACAGTTGGTTTTTTGAGCATGAAGAGTTTTTCACTCTTTTTAATTTTACCCTTAAGTTGATAATTTTCAAGAGAAATATTTATAATGTTATTAACAAATAATTGCATCCTTGACGTTATTTTGTGAGTCCACGAGAAAAATCTGGCACGAATCTAATTATGTCATGTTTCACATATTTTAGAGATCGTGAAAAGCCCAAAATCCAATAAAAATTTTGTTTCAAAAAAATCTTTAAAACAATTCTCCTTTTTTTGTGTTTAAAGTAATTTTTCACTTTTCTTAACAACATTGTATTGCAATTTTTATGCCACTTTTCAAAAGGTAGCCTACCTCGTCGTTTTGAATGAATCGTACTTAACGTGTTAATTACTTGTCACTATAAAAGAAAATACCGTCACTCCGTGCGATTATGAAATACCTTAATATTCATTCGTATGTAAGCGAACCAACCTAATTTTTCATAGCCTTATCTTTGTTTATCACTACGTGTACATGTAAACAGTTTTTGTCACATAAGTTTTGTTAAAAAAACAAAAATATTACAATTTGTGTGTTTAGAATATCATCAGAAACATTATTAAAATCGAGACATTATTATGTAAAAAGCTAACCTCTTGTTACAACGCATACTTGAGAAAATCATCAAGAGTTTGAGTGTAGTTCGAGCGAAATTGTTTTTTAAAGGAGTATTGTTCAAATAAAAATAATAATGAACTATCATTTATTATGCAACTTGGATGACTTGGCAAAAAATATTCTGGTAGATTCAAGGGGAAAATTCAATGTGCGAAAAATGAAACCTCATAGAAATCTTCCATTCCAAGAGAATGTTACATCAGTCAGCAAAGGTATCAACGAAGATTTTGATGCAAATCAAGACATTAATGAAACTACTAGTAATTTGATGAAATTTGTCAAGGAATATAAGTTACATCGTTTATATAGTATACAAAAGCTAGATACTCTGAAACTTTATTTAAAACAATACTTAAAATTTCTACACAAAGATTCCTTTGTAGAATTGTCAAAGTGTGATAGATTTTCAAGAGATAATTTTAATGGAGTTTCAATCAAAGCTACAAGAGATATTAATAAAGATACAATTTTGAAATACGTAATTTGGTATCTTTAAAAAAATTCCAAAAACTGAAGAACATATTGTAACGAATGAAAAATTGAATTTTTCATTACTATATACCTCAAGAACTAATTCAACGCATGTATTATTAGGACCAATTTCATTTGTAAACCATGATTGCAATCCTAACACCGAATACAATTTTAGAACTTCATACTCGCTTCAGCTGAAAGTTATTAAGAATATTAAAAAAGGTGAAGAGATATTGGTTAAATACTCTGATGATTATTTTGGGCCCAATAATGAAGATTGTGAGTGCACATCTTGTTTGAACAAACTAGAAAGTAAGTACAATGAAATTGGGAAAAAAACTAATTCATTTTATATAAATAAAGATCTATGTTTAGCTTTAGTCATTTAATAGGTTATAACTAACTATTTCTTCAATGTATGACAGTTGCAGAAGCTCGAGCTAAGAATGCATTGTGTACTTCAGAAAAAGCTGAACAATATGACAATTTATGTAGCCAGCTAAAATTGAAGGAAGCATCAAATCTGTTGAAAGTTGAAGCAAACGATACACTGAGTATTCCAGTTATAAATGATTTGCCTAATGAATCAAGTTTCTTTGAGAAAACATCAAATCAATCAACTGATTTGCTTGAAATTAATAAAAGTAAGTAAAAAAAAATTCAATTAGCTACATTCAGTTTTTGTTATTTAATAGATTATAACTAACTATTTTTTAATGTATGTACTTCAGGTTCTTTAACTACTTGTAATGAAATCAAGTTAGCGAAGGAAAGGCAATTATCTACAAGTCTAGAAATGACAGTTGCAGAAGCTCGAGCTGAGAATGCATTGTGTACTTCAGAAAAAGCTGAACAATATGAGAATGTATCTGGTCAGCCAAAATTAAAGGAAGCATCAAATCTGTTGACTAATTCAGACGTAATTGAGTCAGCTAACAGAAAAATACAGAACCCTGCAGTAGAAGAATTGCTAATTGGGAAAATTGATGCAAATGATACACTGAGTATTCCAGTTACAAATGATTTGCCTAATGAATCAAGTTTCTTTGAGAAAACATCAAATCAATCAACTGATTTGCTTGAAATTAATAAAAGTAAGTAAAAAAAATTCAATTAGCTACATTCAGTTTCTGTTATTTAATAGATTATAACTAATTATTTTTTAATGTATGTACTTCAGGTTCTTTAACTACTTGTATTAAAATCAAGTTAGCGAAGGAAAGGCAATTATCTACAGATTTAGAAATGACAGTTGCAGAAGCTCGAGCTGAGAATGCATTGTGTACTTCAGAAAAAGCTGTACAATATGAGAATGTATCTGGTCAGCCAAAATTAAAGGAAGCATCAAATCTGTTGACTAATTCAGACGTAATTGAGTCAGCTAACAGAAAAATACAGAACCCTGCAGTAGAAGAATTGCTAATTGGGAAAATTGATGCAAACATTACACAGAATATTCCAGTTATAAATGATTTGCCTAATGAATCAAGTTTCTTTGAGAAAACATCAAATCAATCAACTGATTTGCTTGAAATTAATATAAGTAAGTAAAAAAAAATTTATGACACATTTTTTATATTAAAGCATCACTCTTTACAGATTCCTCATTGAATAAATCTGTGGATTTCATTGGCTTCGATGAAAAGGAATGTTACGATGCATCTTCGCATATTATAAATAAAATTTTAAAGTCAATTGGGACTTCGAGTAAGTTGTTCACATACTTAAAAATCAGTTAATTAAATTATTGAAAAATGGCAACTATTCCAAATAATAGGTAACAAATGTGGAGTTGCAGAAAATCTAACGGGTTTTTGTCATGAAACTAAAAATATAGATGACAAATTAAAATTGCAGCCAATTATTAAATTGAATCGATTACCCATTACCCATTGCGTACAACCAAACTACTCAAGACCAGTTTTAAGTGAAATAGGTATAATTTAATTTATTTCTACTGAAATGATTATACATTAGTACATTTTTCTTTAAAATTTTTGGTTTCAGATTTGACCATCATGAAATCTCAGTGGGGCGGATTTTGTCCGATATGCCAAAAGGTGCAAAGAAAGTTTTCACGGCATTTATTTTCTAAAAAGCACAAATGTAATGAAAAAATTCAAAAGATAAAGAGATTGAAAGCAGGCAGTCAAAAACGACGTCTTTTAATCAATGAGTTTAGATCGCGAGGTTTAAAACTATTCAACGATATATTTGATCAAACTATAACGTCTAGAAATAGATCATCTGATAAACCATTCAAGAATAAAAGAATTGAATGCGCAAAATGTAAAAATTTGTTTGCTGCAATCAAAATAAAAAAACATGAGAATAAATGTAATATAATATATGATATATAAAATGTTTGAAAATAAATTTTTGTACTACATCATGTATTTATTGGTTTAATAAAAAATTATTCTTTTATGGTTGCTGTTTTTCATGAATCGTAAATCAAGCTCTAAACAGATATAATTTCATTTATTAACAGGTGAATGATAGAAAATTCATTTTAAAAATTATACTTTTTAATAGGAGCAAGTAATAACTCAAAATAACTTACAATAATTTTAAATTTAAATCTGGTGCCAAAATTTTAGCGAGCGTTTCCGTAAGTATTACCAATAGAACAGACTTAAGTGAGGGCCGAGATTAAGTGTTGCCAATTTTTTCCCTCGTATTTTTTACGAAAAATCCATCGCAGTTGGCAAAACATAAACTCTTTGTGGCTTCAACTGAACAAAGAACTTCCTTTCTCTTTGGTGCATTTCCCAAAGAAAGGACTACCTCACTGCTAACGATACGTTTATTATGTGGTCTTCGCTCCAATTAAACAGTGGTAATACTGAAATAGTTTCTACTGAGATGATTGAACAATCAAAAGATAACAACATAGTTGTTAATAATGGGATTAAATCAACATGTTCCATCATCGACCAAAGTGGTAAGTTTAACCTTACCTTGCGAATAATAAATACCTTCGAAAAATTCGCAAGTTTTCAATCTTTCAATTTTATCTTTTTTCAACAGATGATATAAAAAGCTTGGAGAAAAAAAAACCTGAATCGATGAAACAAAATATATCTCCGTTTGTCGAAACATCTGTAAAAATAGTGGACTACTCAGTCGGAGGTAAAATATTTTTACAAGTTTTTCAAAGTATTAATAAAGATAACCTGACATGGAAAAATAGGTTGTAGTTGAAAAGTTGCATAAATAATCTGATATATTATAATTTTTCCTCAAATTACTTGGGTATTATAAAATTTCAAAATCAATTATATATTACTGTCTATCATTAATCCATTGCTTTAATTGGATTAAAATTAATACATGGACCCTGAAATTTCTAGAGGATATTAGAGAAACGTGTTTGAAAAATTGAGTTTCCTAGCTTGAATATCTCATAAAATTTTGATTGTGCTACATTCATTACCATTAACTTTTCATTACTAAAATGTTTTACTACAAAACTTTTTCTTTTACTTAACTGTCTCTAATTTGAAAGATTTTCATACTTGATCTTTTTTTTTTGCAAAACTCATAAAAATATTAATTTTTGCAGAGTCTGATAGGGACGATTCATTTTTCAATCCAGAAGTACCAAAAAGTAATCTCCATATAAATCTTATAAGTAGTACTCCAAATACTTCAATTGATCCTTCAAAAAATCCATCTGATATAATGCCTATCGCTGATGAGATATTTAATGGTCAAGTTCAAGATATTTTATTAAATGATAAAGTAGAAGATTCCAATGCTAGTTATGATGATCAAAAATCTATTATATTAAAAAATAAATTAGAAGATTCTGATACAAAACATGGTCAACTAAAAGAGAAAATGAACATCATTGGAAACTCTAATTCTAAACAGACTTTAAATTATTTTGGAAGTAGCGATTCTTTCATAAATGACCACAATTTAGAGCAAAATGAAATTCAAGAGCCTAATGCAGTTATTAATGCTCATTCTCATAAGACATGTTCGAATAATTTGGCGGTAGCGAAAGATTTATCTGATATTTTTGATGGTATTCCTTCTGTGACAAATGAATATAGTTCAGATGAAATTAAACTTCATGAAATGGCAGATTCTTGCAATAAGAAAGATGATGATTCTGATTCTACGTCACGTAAAAAGAGTTGTGAGCTGGACCCAGTCCGAAAAGAAAATCAAGAAAACACTACTGTTGTAACGGAGGAAAACAGTACACTTGTACACTCTGAATCACTAGTAAATTCTCAAGCGGAATCAGAAAACAAAAACGATAAGGAGTATCAACCTAATGCTTCCAAAGATAACACGAATGAGGTTGATTCATCTTTGATTGTTACACTTGAGCAGAAAATAATCCTACCTACTACCACGAGTGACGGAAAAGGTCTAAATAAAAAATATTTTTGTCCGTTCTGCAAAAAAAGCATAAAAAAGTTTGCTCGACATTTGATGGATATTCATTCTAAAGAATCTGAAGTTATTAATTTTATGATGTATCCAGCTAATTCTACAATAAGAAAAAACCAAATTAGATTATTAAGAAATCGTGGACAATTAATTTTTAATTCAAAAAAGGAATACAATCTTGGTACTCTACAAGTTTCTCGTCAAACCTCACAAGGGGTACAAAAAAGTTCTGATACATTGGAACTATGTCCTGATTGTAATGGTCAGTATTCCTACAAATCTATTAGAAATCATAAATGCATCAATAGAAATGAAATAGAAATGAAAAAAAGTAATAGCTGTTCAAGAGAAAAAGGTTGTGCCAAATTTCTGCATTGTGTAAAACAAGATCTTACAGACAGAATGCGTCAAGATATACTTGCGTCATACCAACGATCACCTTATCGTGATATTATTACAAATGATAAAAGTATATTGGAATTTGGCGAGTACAAATGTAGAAAATTGCCACAACCTCATCAAAATGATCATATTAAAACTCAGATGACGTATGCTGCTAAACTCTTAACACATTGTAAAGAGATGGATTCCACACTAACTGACTTGAAATCACTTTTGTGCTGTGAAAAATATAATATAGTTTACAAAGCGATTCAAAAAATTGCCAAATGGGATCCAAATATTAATATGTTTGAACATCCTAGTGTAGCAACTGTTATGACCACTTTAGTTGGGGAATTAGCAAAGCGCGTAGAAGTTGATATTATGAAACAAACGCTGCAAGAAGAAATAAAAACGTTCCAGTTGAATCAAATAGTAAGGTTTCAATCTATGATTCAAAAAGAATTTACCACTGACATAAACAAAATTGCTGCAATTAATTATGCAAAAATTAAATCACGAAAACAAGAAAAGAAAACTGATGCGGATGACGTTAAAATTTTCTTTGAATGGACTGAAAGCAATTTGACGAAAATATGTGAAGAAATTGAACAATCTCTAGAAACTGGTAGTTTTTCCACGGGCAAGTGGATGAAATTAATTCAATTCTGCGTAGTTTATTTAATTATTTTCAATAAAAATAGAACTGGGGAAGCTTCACGCATATTAATATCAGATTATGAAGAAATAAAAAAAATTACTCCTGAGCAGCCTGAATGGAAAAAACTAACTCCAGAAGAGCAAGATCAAGCTAGAATGTACGGACGTTTCATCATAACTGGTAAACTTTATCGTAATGTTCCGGTACTAATGAATGATCTACTAACGAAAAGTTTTGATTTAATTCTAAAAACACGAGAAAAAGCTGGAGTAAGGTCAACTAATCAGTTCATTTTTGACATTCCAAATAAGTGGCATTTCACGTCAACTCTCCCAGTGCCGCGCGGCGCGGCAGAATTAAGCCAAATCACTAAATTTGTGAATCGCTGTAAAAGTACTAAAATGCACCAAGAGAAAAAAACGAACCCATGGTTTCGATGGAAAATCGCCTCAGCTTTCCCATAGTGAGGTCAGATTTTCTGAAATTTTCCGCTTTACCCGGGAAAATCGCTGGGAAAACTTTAAAGTCGATTATCTCGAAAACTTCATTTTTAAGATTTTTTTAAATAGTCTAGATCGAAAGATCAGGAAATTTCCCATCGATCTAGACCTTTTCCAAAGAGGCATTTTTTGATTTTAGCGAGATATAGCGAGAGAAAGAAGAAAAAACGTGGTTTTTTGGCGCGCGCGGGCGGTCAGACGCCACCAACCGAACAAAAAACCACGTTTTTTCTTCTTTCTCTCGCTATATCTCGCTAAAATCAAAAAACGCCTCTTTGGAAAAGGTCTAGATCGATGGGAAATTTCCTGATCTTTCGATCTAGACTATTTAAAAAAATCTTAAAAATGAAGTTTTCGAGATAATCGACTTTAAAGTTTTCCCAGCGATTTTCCCGGGTAAAGCGGAAAATTTCGAAAAATCTGACCTGACCATCGGAAAGCTGAGGCAATTTTCGATCGAAATCATGGGTTCGTTTTTTTCTCTAGGTGCATTTTAGTACTTTTACAGCGATTCACAAATTTAGTGATTTGGCTTAATTCTGCCGCGCCGCGCAGCACTGGGAGAATTGACGTGAAATGCCACATAATAACATACGAAAAGA